AAGCCATATTTCAAATGGTCTAAACGGATGTTAGCAACAACATTTTGTTCAATGTGTGCATTAAGAGTAGACCTGGTCTTTAATGAAGACAATATGGTCTATAAAATTATATCTTAAAATTCTTCTATTTATAGAACGCAATCTGGAAATTAAACATTTGAAAAATAAAAAATGAAAAATAAAAATTGAAACAATCAAAGTTGAAAAGATGTCTGACAAAAGTGCAAAGTTATTCTCAAAAGCTGTTTTTCACTAAGAAGGCTTTTGAAGTTTCCTTTCTGGGATTGCAATTTCTTTAAATTTCCATTTGCAAAACTTACTGGCAAAAACAATTGATCAGAATTCACTCCACATGTTTGCTAACACAATTGTAGGTCTAAAAAAGCTCAACAGAAACTAATTCTTTCCTCAATCTGAAAAAAGTTGGACCACTAAAGAAAGATGGACTCTATCAAACTGATCAATTTGAAGAAAAGAAATACAACAACCCTTAATCAATCAAAAACTAACCCCAATGCTAAAGAACAATAACATGTATTTGTTTTGTTCGTCAGTCTTGATCACACTACAAACTAATGGCAGGCAACAAACTATAGTGTCAGATTAATCAACATAAGCCTTAATGGTGAGCAAGAGCCTCCTCTTTCACTGCTAGTATCACATGAGCTGCTGATCAAAGACCTTGATATACTGACTGTCAGCCAGTAAATCCTGTAAAATATGAAGTTCTGACATTTTGCTGATGTGAATTATCCCCAAAACCAAAAGCCATTAGCAATTATCTTGTTGCTGCCAACCAAACTGGGAAGGGTTGTTTTATGCACTTTCAAAGGACGGAAATGTGTAAAAAAAAAAAAAAGATGCATTAATGTCCTTTGGACAGTTGGGAGCAAAATGGAGCTGAGTGATGAGAATACAGATTTGAGGAAATACTCCCCACACACATCAGCAAAAACAGCTCTGTATCAGCGCAGTATGATGGTGAAAGGGTGATGATATGGCAAAACACAGCAGCAAATCCAGATGTAATAATGACTAAACAGCAATCAACTTGTGTGAACTCCACTTATTAAAGACTTGTTTTATATTTTATCCTGGATATGATTTCTGGTATATTTCCAATGTTTCTCTTTTTAAAAAAAATCTTAACTCTGACTTTTAAATTCAATATTCCACCCCGTTTTTTTACCTCTATTAATTTAGAAGTTGCTAGGTTTCACACATTCTTATTTTTTTTGTATTTCTAAAACATGACCTGATAACATTATCACATATTTCAAAGAAAATTACACACGTATTGTACAAAATGTATTTGCTTCATTAGCCATAAAATAATAGAATACATAGAATATCCTAGCCATAATAACAGAAAGAGTTTATTTCTTTTTAATGTAAAGAAACGACGAAAGGCGCTCCTAATCCCCTTGTGTTTATGTGATTGAGGCGAATATGATGTTCTCGCGAGATTTTACGTGCCGTTGAAACGTATCGATAACATATCGCGAGACTGGTGCAGCGTTACCCCATTTTCCAGCTGTCCCTCACTCGATCGGGATTTCTGAACCACAGGAGAATCACCGGAAGGGCTTTCGGTGATAAACCGTCACATTTTGGGAGAAAGGACAACAATTTATGGTCACATAAACACACGGAGAGCTACTTTATACAGCTTTAAGGATGGAAGCTAAACTATGAGGTAAGAAGAGGCAGTAGAGTGTCTTATGTGGAAGAATGTCCCTGAGCGGGCTGAGGTTAGCATCATGCTAACTCCTCTGGTAACGGTCCGTTGGTTAGTTTCTGCTTTTCAACAGGGACCGTTTCATTGGTGTGAACGTTAACCTTTTATATTTGACGTTTTCGGTTTATTCTGATATTTTTATTTCAGCGACAGGACAGAAAATATGCTAACTGCTCGGAGTGTTGGAACTAGCCAATATGCTAATGGTAAATCAGTGCATCTCCTTAATGAAGCCGTTAGTGCTGGTTCCCCTCTGGCCCACTGAGGCTCTTTCTGACCCTCCTTCTTTCATTGCTAACCTGGGATAATGTAGGAGTGTTTTTTTTTTTTTTTTTTTAAGAAAGGTTTTTTTTTTTCTTGTCAAACATTAATCTTGGTGTGTGTCTCAGTGGTCAAATGTAACAAAAAATGCTTAGAAAACCTTCTTAACAAACAAAATGCTGTCTGAGTTTCTCTCTGAGCTGAAGTGAGAACGGATCAGTCCTGTCAGTGTGAACCTCTTCCTTTCTGAGCTCCATCATTCATGCTTTAATGGGGCTCACTGAGGGAGGGAGTCAGCCAGAGCTGGTTTCCATGGTAACGTGGATGCTGACAGTTTTATGGAGGTTTGGGGGTGGCGTGGTCCAAATCAACCAAGGCCCAGACGTAGCGTGCGACCTGAGTTATTTATTTATCTGTTTAAATTGATCACTTTTATCCGGGTCTCTTCTGGTTCCTAAACCCTCTGATCTGCAAGTGGTGAAGTGATCACAAACATTCCAGATGTTGATAAACTTCTGGTTGCTTTCCTTTCTATAAAGCTTTGAACCTATTTCCCCTCTGAAAGAAAAAATAATCTTTATACAAAAAAAAATCTTATGAAATGGTTAAATTTCCATCCATATATTAGTAGAAATTATTTATATTTAAAGTAGAGTTTGTCACACAAGGTGCTTTAAAGCTGATCCTTAATAGAGATGCAGTGATGCGATACTTAGGATAAGGTATCTAATACATTTAATTCAATGACTGCAATGATGCTAATGTTTAAAAATGTGAATTTACTCGCATGGTTAGGTATGCATTTGACTCAGTCAGTTGTATCAGATATCAGCCGATATGCTCAGCACATGTATCAGTTCCAGATTGGATGAGAAATGATGGATCGGTGCGTCTCTGGCTCTTAATGCCGTTTTGCAAAAGCAAATAGAAAACAGGGCGTCATATAAAACCTCCTCTATCATCCTATTTTCGCCTGTTGTTCTGCTCAGCGGCTTGTTGGCATCTTATCATGTGTAACGAAGGATGAAGTTCTCTGTGGAAGCGTTTCTGTCCCAAGGTTGTAGTGATTAGTTATCTTGGTGTTGGTGTGTTCATGATGTGGGACCCAGTGAATCTGATGGCTCTGATGAACTGACACAGCTCACACATCCAAACAGTTTGCTAGTCCTGCTTTATGTGACTCCTTCTGGTTGTCTAACGTTTTTCCTTCTGGGCTTTATGAAGCAGCAAAGATAGTGAGAAATTAGCCTGTAGCTAAACAACATTTATGCGTTTTCATCAAACTTAAACTAACTTCCCTGATTTCTTCAAAGCCATAAGAAATGGAAAATACCATTTTTTGTGTACCAAAATTCTGTTTGTAACACCTTAAACATAAAAATGATTTGTTTTTCATTAATATAAATCCTTAACCTAAGTTTGTTCATGATTTTTTTCTGAGCAAGATTCATTTAGATCAGAGGTAAAACTATAGTTTTTAATAATCGACAGAACGAAAAATCTATTGCAGTTTTATTAATTTCCTACAGTTTTTGATTTGGGACTCTGTTATTTTCTGATTTAAAAAAAAAAAAAGAGAGTTTTTATATCACTTATAATCAATTCTATCCTTTCTATTAAACCATGTTGGCTGTATAAACCTAAACTACTCATTCCTGACTGACAGTCTGCATAGAGCTTTAAATTATAGCCGCATGATCTGTAGAAGATATAACTTGCTCATTATAAAAGTTGCAGGAACAATATTGAATCTGATGAGTCCCTTTTTTTTCTATGCGTTTATTTCACTTTGTCTACATTATGAAGATTTGGTTGGCTGGATGAACCCCCCATCAATGCTGTTTAATTATTATTTTATGTAAAAATTGTGCAAATCTACAGCAAAGTGTTAATGTCTGACACTTAAAATAAATTACTCAGTCAAATATTACATGCAAACAATCCCTTATGATTTCCATATTGCAGACAGGCATATCGCAATGCTGAATGCGATATGCTTTATTGAGCAGTTAGACTGTAAACTGTGTGGGAACCTCCAAACAAAGCATATAAAAACCACAAGTATCAATTTAGTGGAAGACTGTAAAACAAAAAAACAACATAGACAGGTCTGGTTCTTGTATGTTTCGAGGTCTGTGAAGCGGTAGAGTTTCACCACAGGCCCATATACTTAGCTCTGTTTATCCTCCCACAGCATGAGGCTGCCACCATGTTTTCCTGTGGGCGTGGCCTCTTTAGGTACATATCAGCGTTAGTTTAACAACACACCCTGAATTTGGCCAAAAGACAAAGGGTGTGAATACTTTGGAAAAGGCTTTGTGAGTATTCTTAGAGTGCAGCTTAAAGAAACATTCAAAATGTGCACAGATGTCATAAAATGCTCCACTTAAATATTTATAAATGTAGAATGACCGGGGAAGTTGATGTCTGTTCCAGGGATGAAGCAATCCTGACTGTCATGGCCACCATCATACCAGAGGCATGATTCATGACTTTGTCAGCCCTCTTCCGGTGCTCTGTGTGTTCATATTCTTTATCTGAGCTTGAACACTTCCTTTAAGTTCTGTTTCTACAGTCGCTGATCTGGAACGTTCTCTGCTGGTCTAAGGAGAGCTGAAAAGCCCTGTCAGCGCATGTCTGAGTTAAAACGGTCACACCCTGAGTATATCAACAAGTTCCTGTGGGGCTTTAATAAAGCGTGTTGCAGTGTCGGGCCTGAACAGCTGGATGTTAGGGTCTTGGAGGTTGGCACCGTAATGTGTTGGTGTGAAACAGGCCACCCTCAGTGGGAAGGTGTTGGAGGTAGGCAGTGCGCCGCATTAATTATGTGTGAAAGAAATGAGCTATTATTACCAACAACATCATGAACAAAGCATCTTTTAAGATACAATCAACGGATACATCCTGGGTTTTTGGCTTTGAGGTCTAACCTAATCTGACCTTTTATGTTAATCAAACATCTGTAATATATAGTGGGAGTTTTTCTATTCTATGCCTCCCTATTAAATTTTTTTTTGTCTCTTTGCTATTGAAGCCCGCTCTTTCTCTTTTAATCTTTCTCCATGATGGGACCATTTTCATATCTCCCCTTATGCAAATGCTAACCATCAGACTGACCCAGAGACGCTGCTCTGATCCACCTGCAGCAGTAAGGCGGCTATGCACACCATTTACTGGATAGAAATGAAACCACTCAGACCGTTGGTCAGTCAGTTGGACAGACCAGCCGTTTGGGAATCATTCTTAACCCCTGCTTTCCTCAGGGTGAGTCGATGTTGTGCAACTTTAACATGCTAATTGCCCTCCCCGGTAGGGGTGGTAAATACCTTATTTAATCAGATATTATTTAGACTGTCATATATTGTTTATGAACACACAAAAAAAGAGGGAATCAAGCTTAAATCATGGTCAAACAGATAACTCTACACTTACATGTAATAACTTCACATCAACAACTGTTCAAAATATAATGAATATAATTATATATAATAAATATAATAAAATATTTATTAAAAAATATCATTCAGCTCCAAGTCAAATATCTTTTAGTTAAAAACGATTGACTGAAAACTAGTGAAACTCAACTAAACTACTATGTCCAAAGAGGAAGGGAGACATGGTTGGAAACCATAATCAATGAGATGATGCAATGATAATACAGTTCAGCATGGATCTTGTGTTTGAGAACCAAAGTTTATCTTGATCCTTGGCTCCAGTTTTTGGTGCGTCTGTCAGGTTTTTAGCTCCGTTCAGACTTCCAGAAATTCTAACCGGTTTCATCGTACCTAGTTAAGTGAAAGGAACCCCACAGCATGATACTACCACAACTCTGTTTCACTATCAGTGTTAATGTAGTGGTCTTTCTTTTTCACCTTCCATGTTTTTGGCATAAAAACAGACACAAAAAAAAAAACAACTAACCCTTAGATTAGCATCCCTATGGATAAGGCTCTGCTGCAGCTCACTGATATGTTTTGGTGGGGGGTCCAGATGAAACCTGGTCCGAATCGATTTATTAAACATTTTACTCCTCTTATTTCTGCCCATACAAATGGCTCTTTTATTCCTGCTGTGTTGTTTACATCCTGCCTCTTCTTTTCTTCTTCCGCCTTCATTTGTGGCATGGCAGCGTTACCAGGCAACCCACTGGTTTGGCAGGACAGCAACCATCACAGCTCCTCCAGCTTCAGCTAAACGTTTTGACTTGAGAAGTTAGAAGGATTATAAGAAGCATTGATCCTCCAACGCTGTATTTGTATCCAGTACTAATTTGGCCTAAAATCATATCTTTTTGCTGTTGTTAATTTTAGGGCCCTGTCACACCGTGCCGATTTAGATATTGTATGCCCTATGTCACAGAATCTCCTAAAATGCTGGCATACGCTGAACTTATGTATTTTATCTATTTTATACATAGAGTATACATAAGTCCAGAGCTTCTGTCCGACAACAGCCTAACTTCTGCATAACGCGTGGCAGCGTAATGCCCAGTGCATCATTTCATGGGCATTATGAAGCATCAGTTAAAGATGCCCTCCATGATGCGCCTGAGGGGAGCATCAATGCACCCAGAGGTTGATCCATCACACTCACCTTCTGGCTCACCCTATGATGGGGATGAAGTCTGGAGGAGAACTGACGGTTTCCTCCTGTGAACCCCCTTTATACCAAAACGCTGCCAATACACTGGTTAATACAGTAGCTGGAAGTTAGAAACACGTTCAACGCTTGTCTGGAACATGTCAGATACGTTTATGGTTGGAGAGAAGTTCTTGAGAAGTTACACAGAAGTTACGCACAAGTAACTCAGAGGTTTAGGATAAGCTAGACGCCACGACGTATAAGGAACTGACACTGAACGTACGTCAGTAACTGACCTGGAACTGATGGCCCATGTAGAAGCATGCGCTGGCATATGTCTGGAAATTTTTATCTTTCTCAAAATTTCCCGACATACTCGCCGTATGTCGACGTACTCAAGCATACTCCTAACTTATACAAAACGTACCCATAACTTATGCAACATAAGCAAGTGTTTTTGCCCGATTTTTGGTATGTGAGGCATACGCTCATCTAAATCATCAAGGTGTGACAGGGTCTTCAGATTTCTAGGTTATTTACAGACTAAAATAATAATACCACAAACAACCTAAAAATGTTGTCAAATTGTGATTAAATTGGATTATTTGACTTCTATTTGAACACTTATTTAACTTATAAGATCTGCGATTCTGTTGATAAAACAAGTTTCATGTTGATATTAAAAAATGTGAACTTTTCATGTTAAGTTTTCATTCCCATATTTTTCTGATACAGAGTTTAAAATTCTGGTTTGGTTATAATAACCCTTGTCTCTACGTACTATTTTTTCAGTGTAGTCACTCTGTAATCACCATATCTCTGCTGCCTCTTAGCCCCATTCTTGTTGTTGTGCAGACATGACTGTAAAAACCAGATGGTTTCAGAATGATGAAATCTAACGGAGCACTAACCTTTGAATGCAAAACAAAGTGGTTGAAAAGTCTGAGCAGAGGTTGGACCCAGCGGGTCAGGCAGTGCTCTGTTGCTCTGCTGGTTTCCCCTGAGAAGGAGCGGGGCTCGATGTGTTTGTGTGGGGTTACTCTTTATTCCTCTGACCCAGTTCCTGTGCACACTCAGATGATAATAGTAAGCCCACAGACGCCTCACTATTCAGCCTGAGAAGTAGAAGAAACTGTTGCCTTCCTCTCTAACAGGGACTAAACTCATTATTTTTGGACGGTTCAGTTAGATGCTATTTGGGGTAAACTGATAACGCTCTCATTTGCCAAGTGTTGTTTTGTAGTGAAGAGGTCATAAAAGCCACAGCTTGGTAACAGCCCTCCTTAAGCTGCTGCCTGTTGAAATGTTTTTTCCCCATAATGAGCTGCAGGAGCTGAGGAGGCGGTCTGGATCCGATTAGCAAACCTGTGCTCTTACACTTCCAGATGTGTCTCTCTAAAACTAACCGAGAAAGACTTCATGATAAGAAGTGTTGAGCAGAGGGGGAAGTTTCACCAGCTCTTTCTTTGCATCAGACCAGCAGTGGAAGTTAGTCTGCTTGGACATTCATCAAATAAAAGCCCCTCTAACTTTGGGAATGTGAAGCTGAGTAGTTCTAGTCTGATGACATCTGCAAACAGCAGGTGCACAAACAGACACTCACAGCTAAGGCCCAGATATTCATTGGATTCACAATAGAATCACCTTTTAACAAAATGCCACCAAAGGGCATGGGAGCTACAGTGTCTTTATTGCTGCTGGGCACCGCTGAGGGGATGCAACTGTTTTCTAAATATTAGGTGTTGGTCTTGGTGTCATCTTCATCTGAGGCGCTGATGATGGCGTCAACGTGCCTATCCCTGATTCTGATGGTCACAGCTTCATCTCTGAAAAAAACTGTCTCCTTTTTGTTGTAGGCGTTGTGCTTTTGCAGAAGACTGAGTGAACCATGGCACAGTTCCCCACTGCATTCACAGGTCAGTGTGTGTACACAAAATGGTGGGTGGGTGGATAGGGGATTCTCAGAAGAAACCTTTTAATCAACCAAATAGCCTAAAAAAATACAGTGTATTTTTTTTATTTTCTTAAATTAGAGTGTTGGCTCTAAGTTTAATTTGTCAGACGATAAATAAAACTGTAGCTGATTGACAGAAGATGTGTCTGGCTGTCCTCTGCTGGTTACATGTTGGCCATGTTTGTCTCTGAAACATGTCAGAATAATGTTTACATGTGAAGAAGCTGGTAAAACCTAAAGCTTCTACTCTCTGGATGTAAACACAAACCCACAGCAACCAAAATATTATTGTTTAGATAAATATAAGGTTTAAATTAGAGGCATAATAAGTAACAATAGAAGCAGTTTATTTAAAACACACATAAAAATGATCAATAGCATTATTTTATATATTATAGTATTAGGCATTCCCCTTTTGGCATCAGTCTAACTCCATATTGGATTAATATTGTGCCAGCAGAGGGTTGGTTTGGATCTAAATCGGAGTCAAATGAGTCTTTAAATCTGTTGCTCCTTAATGAAAATCTAAACAGGAAGTTTGCAGTCCTCAATCCCTCTGGAAAACTAATGCAGCATCTCATTTGAATCAACAAAGCTATTAGCATGGCCTAGAACATCAAGACTAATAGGCAGGCTTATTATAGAGGAAAACCAGCAACACATTAACAGAGCCCAACCCGCTCCCTCATCATCCCCACCTTTCCACTCACCAGTCAGACTCTGTTTGTCCTGATGACTTTCACCCAGAACTGAAACTTGTGACTCAGTCAGCTCTCTCATCCAGCCTCTGCTCGCCGTCTGACATCAGCCTTCCCTTCCAGATACTAACCATGTGTGTCTGTTAGGACAAGATGTGTTTCTCATCACTGCGGATGAAAGAGCCAAACACGACCAGCAGTTTCACAGCCTCTCCCCGACTGCTGGGGGTTACATAACAGGTAACCAGCTCATCCTAACAGATAAGACATTTATCAGCCCGGCTGAGTCAGAGCCTCCGCTCCACATCCCAGTCCATTTACAGCAGTTACTGTTTCATTTTTCTGTTTTGCTTCTGCTTCACGCCTTGTTTGTGTTTGCCTGTTAGGTGACCAGGCCAGGAACTTCTTCCTCCAGTCAGGCCTGCCCCCCCCTATCCTGGCCCAAATATGGTGAGTCCTGAGGCCCAAAGGAAGCGCTGGGTTTTCTTCATGCTCATAGCTGCGTGAATAAAGAAGTGATCACTTTATCATTAAGGACTAGTGGCGCTAACAGCGCTGTCACATATATACTAGGGGTGGAACGGTTCACAAAATCCACGGTTCGGTTCGGTTCACGGTTTCGTGGTCACGGTTTTCGGTTCGGTATATGTTGATTGTTAGCCTGACATGTTGGTCATGTTGCTGTTAGCATAAACAAAACGTGTTGCACAATGCTTGC